ACTAAACTGGAACTTAAACACATTTCAGATCTCTATTTTACCAGAATCCCTTTAAAGTCTCTGAAAGTTCTGATTTAGATGACTCCCTGTGCTGCTGTAACTTCTTGGCAAAGTAAACTAAAGCATTTTGCAAAGGTAAAAGTAGTCGTAGAACTTTTAATTAATCCTTTTTAACAGATATTATGAACCTGAGAAATCACAGAATATCTCAAGTTGGAAGGGACCCACAAGTACATATTTATCTTTCATAAATATCATTGATTACAAGTATTTATAGACAGTTCAAATGTGTTCTCAAATTTTTGTGTTAACAAATTAATTAGCTAATTTGTGTGGTCTAACCAAAAAAGTCATTTTTCCACTTACCTTCATTGCAGGCTTAGATTTATCTTTCAGGGAAACAAACACAAACATGAGAGGTATTATTAACAACTTCCTCCTAAAAAACAATCTTGAGAAATTAGTAAAGTGTTATATTTGTCTGATTTTTGTAGGGCAGGGGGAAAGTACTTTCCCCATAACATCTTCCCAAATTATTTTATTTTACTTTTTTTTTTCGTTTCAGTATACACACTTCAAAAGTATGTTGGGAAAAAAATTAGATACATTCCAGTAACTATTTCCAGTTTTATATAGATCTAATAAAATTATTGTGCCAGTCTGATCCTCCCCTGCAATTCATTCTGTTTCTCAGAGAGCCCTGTGGTAATGGCTTATTTTTAATTGATTGTTTATTCTGATTTTTCAGTTTGCTTTCTGTGTCACATCCTTCCAGGATAGTCCCTGCATCCAACCCCATCTTACTACATCTGTCTGTTATCTGTCTCCATTGCCGATACCCTAAAGCAATAATACTTGCATAATCACACTATCCGTTATTGTTCCCCTTACCTATGCCCTGAAATACTCTTCAGTCTTTTAACCCAAATTCTAGAGAATGCATAGAGGTGTAGTCATCTCAAAAATAATATTAAGTACTATGTTTAACATAATACTTTATTAATAAAGATTATTATAATATAAGGAATTGGTACTCAACAGAAGAAATCTTGCACATACGGCTAATGGAAAAGGGGAAGGATATAGTGGGGATGATACTTTACTGGAACAGATCTGTTGGAAACAAGGCTTCTTCAGTTGCACTATGCAATTATTGCTCTGGCAGTAGTTGTTGCACATTTTGCACTGGTAGCACCTGTATGTTTTTGTTTTGCATTACCAATTAAAGGCACTGGACAATACTAACCATTCTTAAAGTCTCCAAAACCACACTATTAATAGTTTCCAACCTAGATGAACATTTTAAAACTCAGGGGAATATGCCGAATTGTTGTCCTGCAGAGACAGGTGTTAAATCCTGAACCATCTTCATAATGTTTCCGTAGAAAAGGCGTGTTTATCACTGGGTTCTCAAGCATTCAGCCCTCATCTGAGTAGGTAAAAGTCACTTTTTGACTTCTTTCTGGCTATTCAGAAATTAAATAAAGTGGGATTCTACGTGCTATGCAAACCCAACTTCTCTGTGGAAAGGAGAAACATAAATAGGGTCTTTGCTATCGCAGTGGGGAAATACATAATATGGAACTCCAAAGTGCTGCTTATGGGTTATTTTCTTTGTTTTTTTTTTCTGTGTAAGAGAGAAGTAACTATCTCAAGTAGCAGCTTAAGCTACTACAGAATAATCCTACTTTAGCCCCTAAGACTATGACCAGTATTTGACAGTGCAGAGACCTGAAATTCAGAAGTAATACAATTTGATGCCATTTTTGACACAATTCAATTCAAGGAAGTGCTGTTTTTATCAGTTGTATAAACATGTTAATTCCTGGAGAAGACTGCATGATCAAGGCTAGTTCAAAGGTAACGCTTCCTCTTGGAGCACTCTGGAACGTACACTGGCCCTATCCAGCCCATGATGCTAACTATGGTCATGCTGTTTCAGAGGTGTTGCAAGGTTTTGTTTCCAGTAGACTGGTATTCCTTACTGACTCAAAATAACCCATAATGCTTCAATAGACAGCTGTCTGGTAAATGCAGAAAATGACATATAATTTAGAGGGCATTAAATGGAGAATTTCTGTGTCCTGACTGCTACGTAGAACAGTTAGGGAAAGTGGATTTGTGCTTGTATAGAAACATAAGTCTGAAAAAAATCACAAAAATAGAATTTATTAACGCTTAATTATGAACATATACTGGAAAAGTCTATCTCAGATGCTAGTAATGAGATCTGGCCTAAATAAACTGCTTATTGAAAATTATAAAAGTCAACTGCCAAATACTAAAGCTGCTTTAAAGTCAGAAATGTGACTGTAATGATGTAATTCTGTGTAAATGAAGCAGAGAGTTATTAGGCCTCTTTTTCCTTGATAAGTAAAGTGCTATAAAGTTACAGAAATTATCAAGTTATGCCAGTCAATATATAATAGTACTTAACTTTTTTTTTATGAATGGAGAGACAACCTGTAAAGAGTCAAGACTGTTTGCCAGCTGTTCACCAGTGGACAGACTATTCAGAAGTTCATTATCAACCTACTGTTCAGTATCAAACTGGTAAGTAAGCAGACTTGTAAATAACAAGGCACAAATATTCTTACTAATCTGAAAAACATTTCAATAAAGTTGTGCTTCATATTGCTTGGACCTTAGATTTAACTTCAAGAACCTTTAAAGATTACTTGAGATAAATGATTTAAAAAATACCAGAATAAGCTAAAATTAGTCTAGGCTTTCCATCCAGCACTTCAGTTTCAAGCTTCAGTCCATCGCTGCAAAATGAGAGAGAGAAAGAGAGGGGAATCTGAAATATTAAGTAATCTGATAATGGTAAGATTTTTACACTAATAGCAAGGACAATTGTACTTAATTATAACACTGTATTTACTGTTGATCCAGATGGTCTTTCATACCCCAAACTTTCTATTACTTAATACAAAGAAATTAACTGGTCTTGAAGAGGGTATATTTTTATTATTGATACTGGGAAATTTGGATTTGCATGTTACAAAGTAAATCCTCACACTGAAGATGCCACTCTATATTGTTATACATAGCAATATGCCTGCCTTAAGAATTTAATAATCCAATAATGTAAACTGTGCGCTACAAAAAATGCTAAACAAGTCTCCCTGAATGCCAGCGCTGATCACAAAGAAGGGCTGTATTCTGAAAACAATCTTTAATTGTGCTTCCATGCAAAACAGTCCACATTTTAAAGTGGAACAAATGTTATTATAAGGGTTTAAAAAAAGAAAACAAATTGGCAGCATTTAGGTGTATGAGTGTAAAGTACCCAAACGCTTTTCTTTCTCCCATACAATAATTTGAGAAAATCCAGTATGAAGATTACTGTTCAAAATAATGCTTATCTTCAAGTTTTCATTTAAAAAAATAATAATCTAACACATCTAAAGCTAGCGCGCAACTTTCTAATTAACACAGCAGCACAAGTGTCTGAAGCTGTAACTCTAGACGTTCAAACAGCACCCGGCAGCTAAGCGGAGCCTACCACCCCTTCTCCTCGGCAGACGCTTTGTGTGGGCAGGAGGCAGCGGGGCAGGGTGCGGTGAACGGGGGCGGTGGGGCTGCGGGAGGGGTTCGGGTTCTGGCGCGGGCACAGGGGCGCCGTTCCCCGCCCCGCTCCTTGCAGGCGCGCTGGGGGGCTTCCCTGGCTTGAGGGAACGCGACCGCCTGGGTCCGAAAGCCG